TACAAAAATGATCTTCTTATGGTAAAAAAAGGATTTCCTTTATAGAAGCAAAATTTTTCTGTGTATGAAATATTACCCTTTATTGCAAATTCATTATATGAGTTACAAGTTAGATTCATCTATAATTATCAAAATCTTGCATATTTATACAAAAAATATTTCAATCCCAATGATTTAACCACTAGCATAGGGGCATACATCAATTGAATACAACAACAACAAAGCCTTAATCCCACTACGTGGGGTCGGCTACATGAATTTTTTTTCTCCATTGCGTCCTATTTAGTGTCATATTTTCATTTAATTCTGATAAACTAAAATAATTTTTTATACAATAAGTCCAAGTCTTCCTAGGTCTACATTTGTCTTTCTTAACATAAGTTGAATCTAAAACATCTACTCTCCTAATCGGATCATCGGATGGTCGACATTTAGGGCCTATTTAGGACAACTTATAAGTGCGGCGGCGTTTTTGAAAACACAGTCTACCCATTTATTTCTCGCGTTTGGATAGATTATCTCAAAACTCCGTTTTATAATTTACATTTCACGCGATCGCGGGTATAACCCCGCCGGTATAACCCCGCGATCGGCGTTGGCTATCCGCGTTCGGCCCTAATTTTTACCTCCCTGCCCTCACTCGCTCATGGGAAAACTACCCCGCTCCTCTGTCGAAAGCCTGGCGAAGAAACTGTCGCTCCTCGACTGTTGTTGCTTGGGCAACTTCTCCCTCACCTATTCATCATCTCCCTTGAAGTTATTCATTGCATCTCCTATCACCCTTGCCGCCGTCGTCGTCGTCGTCGCCGTCGTCGTCGCCGTCGCCGTCGCCGCTTTCGTGACCATCACCTGGCTCTCGCTTCTGTGACCCTCCCGCTCGCCGTTCGGTAAAATTTTATTTTCCCCCAGTTCTTCAAATCTCTTATCAAACAACAATCACCAATCACTTGATAAAAATATACTTGATAAAAATATCATTTCTTAACTGCCTCTTCTTCCTTGTCATCACTGGCTCATTGCTCACTAACCTAAACTGAATGTCCAAAATTTTATTGGTTAATATTGTTGTATAGGTCGTGAGTAGGCAATCTTATTACTGCGTTATGATTTTGGTTGATGTAGTTATTAATTATTTGGTAGATTGAACTATTTTTACTTGTGTATGAACTATTCTGAAATTTTGCTAATGTAAAGTGTTGAGAAGCTCTGCTTCTTGTATTTTCAATGGTTGCTTGTATTTCCTAAAATCTACTTGAAGGAGGATGTGTGTATGAACTATTCTGAAATTTTGCTAATGCAAAGTGTTGAGAAGCTCTGCTTCTTGTATTTTCAATGGTTGCTTGTATTTCCTAAAATCTACTTGAAGGAGGATGTATCTACTAGCGAATAATTTTTTTTGTGAGTGTGCTTTTTGAGATGTGCATAAGTACTTGTTATGCTAATATTTGTTATGTATTTACACTTGATAAACATCGCATTTCTTAGGTGAGGTTACTTTTTATCTTGTCTTTGACCTTTGTCATTTTAATAATTTTTTTTTTTTTTATCAATCTCGATACTCACCGTTAAGTGAGTGCTGTTTCTTAATTTTTTTACTGTTTTGTATGGGTTTTCTGCATCTCTAGTATCAAATATATTTTCATGACGATTCTGTTGCAAACAGCATTACTTAACATGGACAGAAGAGTCATTCATCCAAAAATAGCTGTAAATCAGCTGTTTTCTAAACGCACAAACCAAACAGACAAACAACATATCAGAATCAGCTATAGATACGCAGCTTGTCAGGATAAGCTGCCTATCAGTATAAACTGGATAAAATGGGATAAGCTGCAGCTGTCCCCAGCTGTCCCAAACAGACCCTTAATGTGATCAAACCATCTAAGACGACTCTCTCTAATTTTGTCCGTCATTGGAGCTACACCACAACCCTATCACAGGTATATTCATTTCTCATTTTGTCTAAAAATGTAAAGCCACTCATCCACCTAATCATTCTCATCTCGACAACACTTAACTTAGTATTATGCTTCTAATCATTATATTCAATGACATCAATTGAATAAAACCAAAAAATCAAATTGATATAATTTGGTAGATTTGATTAAAATGTTAAAACATTAACATGATTATCGATTGAAATTTTATTTTTCTTTAACTTTTGGTTATGATTCAATTTTTTTTTTTTTAAAGTCAATCAAGAAAAAAATTATAATAATCTTTTCAAATATTAAATCAACAAAGTCCATGAATTGTAGATAAGCAAATGATAGAAAGATTAACATGAATATTATTCATCTCACATGTCAAAATTATAAATTTTAACAAAGAACACTTGGTATTCTTCTTATTACAAGCCATTTAAGCTTAAAGGTAATAAGGCTCATGTTAAAAGTAATACATTAGTCTCATCCAAGATTTAAAGAAGTTAACAAAACAAAAAATTCATTAGGTTAGTTCAACTTGAAAAATAGTTTGGTCTGTTCAATAATTTAAATTTTACAACAGAAACTAGTTGGCTTGGCTAATTAATACTGCAAACTAACCAAATCCACTTCTCTAACCTATTTTAAATTTTATATTAAAAAACATATTAATCAAATACTCTGAAATCACCAACTCTCCATATCTAAATAATTATCTCGATTGGACCTAAAACTATGCTTTTAAAAGTAAATTTCATTTACCTTTCTTATCAACGGATAATATGCCTTTATATTTTATGCGACATAACACATATACCACACAGCTCTGACATATTTACATATCTAACACTTCAACTTTCGTATTTACATGTATAACACTAAAGCATTTCATATTATATCAAAATTACCACAATTATTATCTTTTAAAAAGTGAATACAATTTCTGTAATACCAAAATACTATAAATGTAAATATCAATGTTTAGAAGTCAGACATGCAAATATATAAGAATTGTGTGGTATGTATGTAAATTTATATTATTTTATTTATTACGCTAATCTAAAAAAATATTTTTTCCATAAAAATCACTAATTTTATAATATCTTTAAGTAGCATTTGCACCTACCTATAATGCCATCATCTTTTAACAAAGATCTTATTGCCATCTATAAAATTAATGGGTTCAGACAAATCAGAATCTCCAAAACTTATATTTGAACAAAATAGTTTCATGTGTAACCTTTCCTTCTTCCTTAGTTTTAGCATATTATATAACTCATAAGAAATACCTCTTTTATTAGTTCACTATTCTCTTTGCAAGACTTTAAGTTTTCTCATCATAATCACAAATCTCAGGTGTGCTCAATTCTAGTTACCCCTCAAAACAACATATATTTTTCATTATAGCATTTTGTAACTCCTCAATCCACCATATGCTCTTATATACCAGCTAGTTATAGAATCTCTTAGAAGTTCTATTGCAATTCATTTTATAGAACTATCTATCCCATCAAATATCAATTAGGCACAATCATAGATTTCCAATTTTGATTCTCTTAAAAAACTATCTTGAATGATTAACTTCTCATATTTTAAGTTCCACATTTTTTTTCTTATATCAATTGGGCTTCTAATCATTTTCATTGCTAAAATATGCATACATAGCTACACTTATACTGTCAAACCTAATAATTTATAAAAGAATTTTCCTTAATTTCGACTAAGGAAAGTTCATGTGTGTTTTGATCAGTCCATTACAAAAGAAATCAAGTAATAATTTTTACAGTTGATTTTCTACTATTAAAAGGCCATATGATGCTACAAACTTTAGACTAACTTCACCCATCACATTTCTATCACCTTTTACCAACCATAATTCCCATTATAATCCTTCTCACAAAAAAAGTAAAACTATATGTCTAAGTCACCAACAATGTTTATCCTCTCCTTTTAAAGTATGCATTATAGAAAATCAGAAATCTCTTATCAAAATTGATTGCTAACTTAACATTTAATCAAGCTTGGGAAGTATAAGCACTAGTCAGAATTAAAAAAGCCTCATAAATGATTCACCAAATAACAAACATATCAGTTCTATCATTATCCCCACCATATTCTTAATTTCGACATGCTATGGATACAATTGCACATAACCTTCCATAATTTCTTTGGATTTCTAAAGTTCCACCCTAATTGAGTAATTTCTTACAAAGAAGCAATATTAATTCTTTTTTGCCTGATCATTGCACCCAGTAAAAAAAGTCTCGTATTTAAATTCACTAAATTCCATGTAGAAAATGTAAACTTAAGTTAGATCGAGCCAACTCTTATACATTTTTATCGCAATTAGGTTAATTTGTGATGCAACACTTGAAGAAAACTTCCAACTCTTTCCTATGTAGCAGCACAATCTAGTTAATTTTGATGCAACATTTACACGTGATGTCTCTTCATAACACCTGCTTCTTCTCCAAAAAAAATCAGATTAAATTAGAACATCATTTTTGTAGAATGCCCTAGCAAATAAAAAAATTCAAAATTGGATTCATTTCATAATGTTGGCATAAGTTTCACAATAAGCTTCAAACAAATTATAGGTAGTCGTTTGAAAAAATTTACATTCTTTAAGAAAGATAACACAAAACCAATGAAAACATTGTTCAAGTCTGATTGGAAAATGCGGCATGTATAGCAGGCACTTTGCAAATATCAGGCAGTCATGATCTAAAAACAGAAATTCACAATTTAATAGATGACATTATCAAATAATTACATCAGTATTCGGATAAAAAACCAATATAAATATAATAGATCCAGTCATAAAAAATAAAATTCAATAAATTTGGAATATTAGGATCACTTTATAGCAGTAAAAAATAAGCAAAGCAGCCAACATAGAGCGCAAATGAAAGAAAAATTCAATGTATTGAATTCATGAAGATAAGCATAGCTCACAGCACAATTAGAAATTCACAACAGCAAAATTCAAAGCCATGGGAAGCACTTTAGTACCGGAACCATAATTCCGACAAAAAACAACAATTAAAATTACGACATTTTAACAATTAAAATTACGACATTAGATTGCTCCAAAAGCAAACCTACGCTTTCAAATTTCTTCCTAAGTTCCTAGAACCTTAGCTTCGTGAAGAACCATCGATTCTTCCCTGACTTGAATCGCTCCTCGAATCGCGCCTTGGTTTCCTTGCAGGCCGTGACCTTCTTGTCGCGAGACTGGAGCACATCTACAGTGACAACGTCCTTGAGATCGACGTCGAGAGTATATCGGGTGGGCATAATGTGGGTGTAGTTGACCAGCTTAAGGAAAGCCTTCACCCTAGACTTCTTTGCCGTCTTCTTCGCTGAGTCCTTGCGGATGACCTTCCTGGGGTACTTGGCGATACCGGCGACGAGGCAGTGGCCGTAAGGGCGGTCGCGGGTTCCATCGTCAAAGGATCGGACGATGACCGCCTTCCGGCCAGCGAAGCGGCCGTTGAGTACGATGACGGCTTTGCCGGGTTTAAGAAACTTCACCATCTTTGAAACCTTTCTCCCTCTTCCTACGGGGGCTCCGCCCTTCTCTTCTGCAGGTTGTGGCGGCAACTTGTGGTCGATCCGAAACCCTAATCCTTAAAATTATTGGATGGGGGGACCAGTGATATTACGAGGTTACCCCCGTAGAAGGAATGGTCATTTGCATACCCAATTCCTGTGCATTTACATATATAACACCTAAATTTTTTTTTTTTTTTGTTTTTGCATTTGTAATCCATTGCTTTCCTATCAAATAAAAATATTATTATTTTAAATTTAAAGTGGAATAAATCTTTTCTCGTGCATGGATAAGTTAGCATAAATTAAAAAAAAAATTAAATATGTAAATACCGAGGAATTAGGTGGCATGTATGAAAAAAGAGTTTAGGCTTCAGATATGTAAATACAAGGAATTGTCTGGTATGTATGTAAATTTCCTTAAAAATTAGCTTGGAAGGTTTGCATAGATCTCTTAATTCCTATGTATTTACATATTCAACACTTCCACTTGAATTTTTACATTTGTCACTGATGAACTGGAAGTATGATCTCGTATAATCCAGAAAGTCATACAATTCTGAAAAGATCCTATAAAAGAGGTGGAAGGGTGTTGAGGAATTTTGTAGAGATATAGATAGAGAGAGAATCTGAGAGAGTCAGAGTCCCCCTACTACTTATATACAATAGATCTTATGTGATCATGCAAGGGTCTAAGAAATAAATAAAATGCTACATTATACGTTGTACAATACAGATTCTAAGTAGAGTCGCACTTGATAAGATCCTTGGTATGAATGTCAGGCAATCAATAAATGGTTATCTACTTGATGGTGGGACATAGTTCTTTTTATTCAGCATCAAAGAACTATTCATCGAGCATTGTAGTACAGTCAAATAGCTGTCGACGAGCTCGATGTGAAGATTCTAACAATACAAGTGAGCTTAGTAAAAGAACTCACGAAATGTGAGTGAGATCAATTGAAGAAGCTCGACTGAAGTTTTGAGCTTAGTAAACGCAATTGAAGGCACCCACATGAATGTTGACAAGCTTCAAGGGTACTCGTTAGGTCCTTTTTGTAAGGGTCTATTATTAATGAAGGAGAACCAATAGTCACAAAAAATGATAGGAAGGGTTAGGCCAAATGAATGGAAGGGGGAGAAAAAACTAGAATGTTGTGAAACTGAAGAAGAGGAATTGATGAGCCTTGAAACAGAATGAGGAAGGGAGAGAAAATGAATCGATCATAGCGGAAAAGGCAAATTCACCTATAAAGTTGCGGATCAACTTAACCGATCCAAGCGGTGAGGACTAAGTGAGAATTAGAGCAGAAGCGGTGTATCTGTCGTTCGGGAGGATGGGATTGTTTCGGTGGCAAGGAAAGAGAAGGAAGAAGAAGGCATCACTTCTTCGTCGAGCTTCGCGAAGAAGAATCGAGCCAAGTTGAGGAGGAACTGTCATGCACGAAAAAGAAAGGAAAGGAGATCGAGTGCGGGAGGTGTTCGAACATAAGGAGAAGGGAAGAGTCGTGTGGGTGTTAGGTAGAGCCTTGTGCATAGGAAGAAGATCGTGGCATACAAAGGTGGCGCAGCTTCATGCAATGAATTAAGAAGACAACTCTGATAGGTTGAATCAAGTCAATTGTGGAAAGGAGGAAGGAATTCAACTCGCTGCCCTGTGAGTTGTGTGTTGCCCTCACATGAGATATGATTGACCAAAGTAAGGTTTTTATTAAAACATAATAATAATACTAATAACAATAACAATAAATAACATAGTTATATATATAAATATTTTTATTAAAAAGAAATTAAGTGTAATTGCATAATGAAAAATTTAATATTTAAATAATGAAAAACTAATAGTTTATTTAAAAATAATAAATTAATAAAAAATTTATAACATGTTTTTGACTTTCGATTTTAGAAGAATTAACCTCAAGGCAAATAACAAATTAGTCAGCATCAAGATGAGTATTTGTACTTTTAAACTATAGTGATAAATTGCTTATTCTCAAATATGTTTGTAGTTGACGAAATTTGTGTCTGTTTTATTCAGAATAAGATATTTTTTTTATTTAATAGTCATATCGTTATGGATGTTATAGCTACTTATTCATGCATTTGATGTATGTTTTGTATGATATGTTGAATTGAATGCAATGAATAGATATGTTTATGTTGGTTGTTTGTATGTGCATGACTGACTATGATGGAGCACCCCTTAATCATACAGCGGAGGAACATTAATGTACCCGTGCACATAAATAAAAAAGAATATTGATATTGATGTGTCTTAATTGACACAATATTTAGACTATGACTCGGATGACAGTTGTATATATATGAAACAATATTAATATGATAAAGATATATACCTAATTGAATAGCATGTTAAATGTTTGCATTGATATATAAAATAGCTTAACTGACATGCAAATTATTCTTTTTTATTGTATTATTGTAGTTTATAAGTACGAGTATTCACTGACTTGTTTAACTCACAATTGTTTTAAATAATTCTTTAGGTTTAATTAAATTATTAAAAGATCAGCGATTGACGAGAAAATGTTTATAAAAGTCGCACACAACCATCAACGAGGTAATTATAAACTATACCATTTTGATAAAATTTATAGTGGCACTTTCATCTGTTAAATTGTAGGTTGATATAGAAAATTTATTTGACATCGCCCTACCATTCGTTTTCCGTCTTGGTTTATTTCAAGTCCCGGGTCGGGTCATGATACTATTGGGCGACTAAAAAGCTTTGAAGTCTGTCACCTTCAATAATACAACTAATAAGCACCATTAAAATAATCACAACCAAAATATTAAGTGCATAGTTAGTGGCTTCAATCTGTTACGCTCAAAAAGCTCACTAGTACTTGGGCTTTCATGTTGTTTAAAGAACTCATTTTTGTTCACACAATCACCTATATAAAATGTGCATTTCACTATTTAAACATTAAAATATTATAATGTGACATGAAAGATTTAAATGGAGAAAATGTAAAAAAATTAAAGTTAAGAGGTTGGATGTATAAATACATATGATTCGAGTAATAAGTACGATACCAAAGAAATTGTATGTGTACAAATTTCTCTATTTTTTATACGATTTATCATTTATCATGCTCCATTAAAGTCAATATATGTCCGCATAGTTTGAATCTTATATGATACAATAAGTTTGAATTCAAACCAATGTCCTAAGAGAAATCGTCATCACCAATAAGAATCTACAACCCCATCTTAGAACTTTCATAATTGATCTTAAAGACAAAGACCATTAGATAGGATACATAAAATACATTTCATCCACATGATATTTCAAAGATAACAAGACTAAATGGCAAAACTAAAGATTCAAAAATACATATTTTTATACAATGGATCAATTGAAGAAAAAACCTTAGCGAAATAAGAGATAGAGAGGGAAAATGACAATAATATTGAGGACACAATATAAGATCTGACCAAAAAAATAAAAAACCAGTGAAAGAGATTTTTGAGAAACTACTTTCTTTCAAGTGTTAATAAGGAGAAAGTGTATGTGTATGCCATGGAAGTAAGAGATGCATCACTAAATATGGCTATGAAATCAAGACAAGAAAAGGCTACAAAACATATTTATATATCCAGTCTATTTGTTAATATATTATTTAATTCTGGAGCATCACACCTAATTATTAAAACCTCATAAGATAGTAGCTCTAAACAGTACTCCTAACTTCAATACTTCTAATGGTAGCTGCAAGGGCCATTACTTCTAAGCTATAGTGAACTTTAGCCTAACTGTGAGATACAGTTTAGCTCACACAAGATATTAGCTAACTCTGCAACTTCACCTGAAGCCAGCACAATATGATTACAAATTTAAGAATGGACTTCTTGGTTCTAAATTACTGGAACAAAATCCCGCAACTAATAGGCATTAACATACATACCACCCAATTCCTATAGATTTACGTATATACACCCAAACTTTAGTTTTTGTATTATATCAACCAAATCTTTCATGTCACATAAAAAATATCATGTTTTTGCTTTTAAAATGTGAAATATACGTTCTCAGGGATAAGTAAGGTGGCATGTACATAAAAATTGAAGTTCAGGTGCTAGATATGTAAATCCATAGGAATTGAGTGGTGCATATGTGTTTAGGGCAGCTGCAACATATGAAGAAACAACTGCGAAGCTGCTGAAGAATAATCTGATGTTACAAAAAGTTCTGGTGGCTGTTATAATTTTTTTTTTTTTTTAGGCTGCAGTTAGAAAACTGTTACCGCACCTAGTCAGGACCGGTGAGAAAACGTCGATTTTAGCGACAACTTTTTAAAAAAGCTGTCAAAATGCTGTTTATCCAAATAGACAAAATTGCACTGCGGTACCGCATTGCCACCACTCCGTTGCCCCAAACGGGATTGAGCCCAAATTTTCAAACTAGCCCAACTCCTTTTCCTATCACACGAATCAACGTGTTTATTACTCCAGCCACATGCAATGAATTACTCCAACCACCTGCAATGAATAAAGATATGCAGATTGCACCCAAACAATTCAAAAAATGAATTCTAAATCAAATTAAAGAAGCAAAAAAAAAAAAAGAGAAACAGATGTGAAAAAAGGGATTCTTGATTCAAGAAACTATTGATTCTCCACAATTTTGATCCTAAAAGAGGGTTACAGCATATGCCAAAAAAGGGGGAATTTACATATATAAACAATTCTCATGTATTTATATATCTCACACCTAAACTTTCATATTTACATATATATCATTTCGGTGTTTTCAACCTATGCATGGAAATGTGTATTTCACTTTTAAAAAGTGATGATCGTGCTATTTTTTATGCGATATGTGGGTAGAAATGAATGTTTAGGTGTGAGATATGTAAATGCAGCAACTAATGCACGTCCTCTTCCCTGTGATATCTTTTCTGAATTCCCGTCCTTAGAATGAAATAGGCTAGGAAGCCCAGCCACTCCTGCAAAAATTCACCCAAAAGAAAGGGGGAATTTACATACCACACAATTCTTATGTATTTACATACCTAACACCCAAATTTTGATATTTACACTTATAACACTTGAGTGTCATAA